TGTTGGAGTAAATGAAGATGGAATTTTCCCAGCCTCTGTACCTTGGCATGTGCTATTAACCCCCCTCTACAGGTTTGCACATTTCTATTATCGTGCTTCTGCCAAGTATGTGCTTTTTTCTACTTAGACGATCAGTGGATAAAGTCTTTCCAAGTTGGCCATGATTAGAAAAAATTACTACACTAATACATCTAGTCACACTGGCTTGTAGGACAGGATTTCTGAGTTTATTGTTGGCGCTTTGAACCCTTCAACTTATAAATCAAAAAAGAAATAAAAAATTCCTGCTGCTACATTATCATTCAAGCTACCACTTCTAGCCCTCCATATAGCAGAGATGTACATAGCAAAGAAAAGCATTAAAGAATATTTAAAAGATGCCTAAAAGGACAAAACAAATGGACATGTGTAGAATGTGTACATTGTTCACTACGAACATGATTAGTTTGTATATATAATGCATGTGTTGTTAAAGCAGAGTGGGTTCTTTGAAGTTTACAAGTTTGTTATGAATTGATTTATTCATGAAATGCTTTGTTTCTATGACAACTTTATTGGTTTGCCTGTGGTCTAAATACATATAAGCATGGCAGGAATTCCACAATACAAAACAAATTACAGACTACTACCTGAATGGCTTGCTGCCTTTAGGGAATGTACAGGAATAGTAGGCAATAAGGGCAGAAATCACCATATACTACACCAGTACAAGAACAATTACTTAATAAAGAAAAATACTTAAAGGTCCTCCTGAGTTTTCAGCTTAGTAATAAAAAGAAAAGATGGGAATGGGGAAAGGAATCTTGTGAAAAAAAGATAAAAAGGACCCAGCCCCGAACTGCAGACATACTCACATAGTCAAGGAAAAGCCACAGATCAAAGACCAGCATTCTCTCCCACAAATAATAGCACTAGCAGGAAGCTATTAATATTCATAACAGCTCTATAGCTACAAAAGGAACTGGAGAGCTATTGTTTAGAGAAAAATTAGTGTGAAAGTACGGGGCATTAGTTGATAAAAGGATAGAAAGGCTTACAGGGAAGACACAAATAAAGGATCAGAGAGAAAAGTCAATAAGTGGATCAAAAGACAAAAGGACAAATTCTAAAATAAAGGAACAATAATTATGAGAGGTGGAGGAGGGTTGGGAGTAGGAAGATGGCAATCTGAGGAAGGGGTTGTCAAATGCAAATAGGAGGGTAAAATTAAAAAATATCAAAATCAGGATTGATGAAAGAAAAATGTGGGTGAAAAATCTCATTTAACCTGCATTGCACTTGGTTCTTTCTCAGGAAAGACATCCTAAAAACATGTTATTAAAATGATACACTCTTTTAGCCTGCTGGAAACAGTGGTTCTTTTGTTCTATTTAATATTCCATAAAGATTCTTGAAATTGTCATGCAAGAACAAGGAAGAACATGAAATACTCTTTCCCCTGCTGTGTAGCAACTTTTTCCACAGCACGTTCTACTTCTGAAAGTTTGGAACATCAGAAGATATCATTCCTGCATCATGAATAGATTTTTTAAAAATTTTTTTTAAAAAAGGGGCAGAGCCTGGCTCCAATATAAATTGCAGGCCAAAGGCCGGGGGGGGGGGGGGGGCTGGCAGTCAAGGAGGAAGGAGCTCGGCCCTGAATGAGTGAAAAGAAAAGGCCTGGATGGGCGAGTAGCTAGGGACACGGGTGAGAGATGGAACACCTGAGGTGTGGTTCGGAGGACGTCTTAGCCATGAGGCATAGATTTGTGTTATTTGCTGACAGGCTTGTGTTTGGTTCTTGTTACACTGGAGGATCGGGAGAGGCTATAAGGGGATGGAGGAGGCCTCATAGGGGGACCATGTCAGAGGGTGGGGCTCCAGAGAGAGAGGGGCAGCACTGCTGAGAAGCCCGAAAAGGGGGAAGTAACCATGAAGCTCCAGCACAGGGAGCAGCAACCACTAAGCCAAAAGGGTGCAGCAGAGGTAGTGTGCCTCGCAGACTGCCGTCCCCAAGCACCAGGAAAAGGCGCAGTATTGGGACAAGGCTGACTCTGCGTACCCCAGAAGGCAGAACAAACAAGGTTGTGGAGAATCTGAGCACCAGTGGGGCTCAGGGTGGGCGAGAAGCCCCAGACAGTGGGTAACGGGAACGCCAGAGAATGGGCCATGAGAAGCCCAGAGAGTGGGCAGCGAGAAGCCCCAGAGAGAGGGGGGCAGCGACCAATGTTGAGCACCGTGAGGTGCAGCATGAGGTGGGGCTCCAGAGAACCTGAGTGAGACGAGACTGTGAAGGGACAGAGCGTCAACAGGGTGCGGAGCAAGGCAGGGCTGTAGAGTGCCCAAGTGCCAGGGAGACCAACGCGGGTCCGGCACATAGCAGGAAATCCGTAGCCAAGGGAACAAAGGGCAGCCTCCCTACAATAAATACATAAGATCAAAGATGTGGTGGGCAAGATTCCAAGGGTGCTTAGAGAACGCGTGGCACGGTACTAAGGTCACCCTTAGGGGAGTGCATGGTGACCCTAGGGTGCTATCCTGCTATACTGTAAATACAGGATTTTTATTTATCATTTGACCAAATATTTTAAGGGAATCAAAACTTCTCGCCCTCCAAAAGGTTACATAAAGTTGTCCATGTGTAAACTCCAGCTTAGGAATATTAAATATTTTGTCAAAAGTCTGACCTTGTGACTTGTTTATAGTCATAGAATAAGAGAGACCTTGTACACCTGACTAAGGGCCCTTGTACACATGAGGAAATTGCCCCTTTTAGTGGTTTAATTGCCCTTTTTAATGATTTAATTGTGTAATCGTATACACGTTCGGCAGCATGTTACAATTACATTTTGTAATACTGTACATATTTGGTGGCATATTTTGATTTAAATTACTTTTTTAATTTATGTATTTTAATGTATTTTAGTTTGCTATGTAACAAATTACAGTGATATTCCTTACATACACAAAGGCCCGGAGAAGGCAGCAAGGACGGTGCATGGTGCCCAGGCATGCTCAGGGAAGCTTGGGCTTGGTGGGCTTTCAGTGCCCTGTGGACTGTCCCTGCCACCTTCTTTGGCTGCCAGCACACCCAACCATCCTCCTGCCACCTTTCTGGGGCAGCCAGCCTGTTCCCAGGTGGTCCCAGGCAATGGGAAGGCAGCAGGGATGGTTCTGGAAACCCACCAAGCTTCAGCTTCCCCAATCACACCCAGGCTTCCAGTGCCCTGTGCACCATTGGATCTGGTGAGTGCTGCCTGTGAGCTGAGGCTGCACCTGCACAGCTAGCACCCCGCCTGGGTGGCCCTGAGGGGTGCCACCACTGCAGAGGGAAGTAGTAGGCTGCCCTGCAGCTCAGGGGCTATGCAATCCAGTGGTAGCTTGTATGGGCAGGCTCTGTCAAGGAGAAAAAAAAATGGATTGAAGGGCTTAATCTTTTATTTTTTCCCTCCTGGAGCCTTCTTGCATCTCCCATGGATGGGGAGCTTGCTGGTGGTGGGTCATGCAGACCTGTAGCTGCATGGGACCCTGGTGATTCCCTCCACAGTGGTGGAGCCCTCCAGGCAGCATCTACCCACTAGCAACCCACCTGGGCAGTCATGGGGGTGCTGCCAGCATGGAGGGAAGGACTGAGGCCCCCACAGCTCAGGGCCTACTAACAGCTGGCCACCGGGATGCGGAAGAGGCAGGGAGGCTCTGTGGGGAAAAAAAAGAGCAGGCCCCTCACTGCTTTTTTTTTTTGCCTTTGGCAAAGCCTGCCTGCTTCACGGTGTGGGGCCCTGGTGCTTCATTCCAGCTCTAACTTGCCTGCATATCTGTTTGAAATGCCGCAGGATTTATAATAATAACATGCTTAACCAATCAGAGTGCTCCGCACAGACAGAATGTTTCAGTAAGTATTGTGATTAGCTGCCAAGACAACCAATCAGAGTGCTCCGGACAAACAGAATAAGACTATTATTATTATAGATAATACCAGTATTTAAGCCACAGCACCTTATTTCTGTTGGGTACTTAGAATGGAAATGCCTTGAAATGATGCACTTTAGGGACAAAATCCATATTTTCCTCTGTAATCACAGAGAGATTCAGAGGCCATAAGTTGGCTTAGGGACAAATGCTTTCTTGCATAGGAATAGTTTTGCCTGGCAGTGGTTATGTCACTATGTACTTTGAAAGCTAATTTTCATGGGTTGCCTTCTCAAGACATCATTGGGCAGCACTTATTCGTGCATTACTTTGGATGGGCAAGTGAAACACCAATCTTGGGAGCCCATTTAGATGGGGTGCCAGAATGACAGACCCCAGGAAGTCCATGATGCATCAATCAATGCTGCAGAGACCACTCTGGTGTGTGAGGAGCCTGTCTTGCAGCAGCTGCAGCAGCCAGAGTGTGGTGACTGTATGCTACAGTAGGTAAGACTCTGCCTTCCCAACTCTGTACCCGTTGCTCTCTGGAGTTTAGCACACTACAACCCCATTTCCTCATCCTCGCTTCACCCAAGACACTGACATAGCTAGCTATACCTCTATACAAGCTTCCATTGTTACTCTCCATTGGCAGTAAATATTTACTATTGTGAATAAAGGAGGTAGATTAGCAGTCTTGGGTAATTCAGAGGTGGAAGGTAGGCAGATTTGGGAGGACTAAGGACTGGGCTGAAGAATAGGCCACTGTTGCTCTTAAGGAATATTCCCCTCTCCCCTCACCACCATTATTATTACAGAACCACCTTTCATGTCCAGCCTGACTAATCTGTGGGGCAAGATTTGACTCGGGAATAAGTTACAGTTGCTGCATCTACATGAGATGCTGACTACGCAGTACCTTCTTACTACTGCGCAGTAGCATCACATGGCACAAAGCATTATGCAACACTACTGTGCAATAGTAACAAGCTACTGGATAGCCAGCATCACCAAAAAGCTGTTCAGGGCACTACTACACAGTATGCCAGTTACTGTGCAATCATTTAGTGCTTATGCATGCAAGTACTGAATGACGGGGCAGTAACAACTGCACAGTCAGTGTCTCGTGTAAACGTGGTTAGTATCAAATAAAATTGATTTTCTCATTCCTTATCCTCATGGTTGATTTTCTAATTCCTTAACAAGATGGTTGTTGTGACAGATTATGGGTTTTACTGTGATATTTCTGTGCTAATTGCATTCACATTCTTATAATATAATGTGATTTGGTTTACCTTATTAGCCTGTTCACAGAGAATGAAGGGTTAAGTGCCAGGTTGCCAGAGCTGTCTACATGAAGGACATGCAAGAGGAGACAAGATGGACCTTTAACACCAACAGTCTTGAATGACTGCATTGACATAACGAGAAAGATAACAATTCCTAAGGGTAATATCTTCTATTGGACCAACTATGTAGTTGGGATGAAGTTAGACAAGGTTTTGAATGCAAGAGATTCTTTATCAGGTTCCTGATCACAGGAAGCCAAGGCCATCAACAAAGATGAGATGCTGAACACCCAGGAGATTGCAGAGGACAACAGGGCTATGGATAGAAGTTACACATAAACTGGTTTAAATGATTGGAAACTGGTTTAAACCTGTAACACAAAAGAAGTGCAGTGCACGTAAGCCACTTTCAAAATGGCCAAAACCAGTTTAAGATAAACCTGGTTGGAGGTAGCATCAGACTTAACTGATGAAGGTCAAACTGGTTTATGGAACTGTTGTCCCAGATCCCTTCTTGGTTCAAGTTAACTCACAGTCTCCCAGCATCCAAGGATGCTTTGCAGTCCCTGGCTATGTTGTCTGCTCCAGTGGAGCAGGGACTGCTTCGTCTCTCTGCTCTTTAGCCTGCTTCCTGTCTGCATCTGTCAGCCCATAGGGAAAGGAGGGGCAGAGAGGCCCAGGGAACAGACCTGACAGACCAGACCTGTGCCAGAGACTGGGGGGGGGGGGGCACAGCGAGCTGCCACAGGCAGTGGCAGCACTGTTGATGGCAGGAGTATGGTGGCGGCAAGCAGGGAGCTCCCGCAGGCAGCCACAGTGCTGTTGGTGGGCAGGGGGTGGTGAGCACCAACTGGCGGTCGGTGACCACCTGTAGATGCTGCCGGCAGTGTTGGCAGTGGCCAGTGGTGATTGAGGACCACCTGCAGATGCTGGAGGTGATGTTGGTGGGGGGGGTGACAAAGAGCAACTACCCACAGGCACTGCCAGCAGTGTCGGTGGTACCTCTTCACAAAGGGTGCACCGCCATGCTCATGGGGTGCACATGCACCTGTGTGCACCCCCTACACATTGTCAATGGACCTGCAAACCCCTGTAGCCAGGGTCTAAACAGCACGTGGGAGGAGGAAAAGCCCCTGTGGTGGGAGGGTTTCGACACTTGGCAGCCCTCCCTCTGCCCCCCCTTCCCCTTCCCAGCTGCTGATTGCTTCAGGGGCTGCCACAGGAGGGAGGGAGAAGCAGTCCTCCAAGCTGGGTGCCTGTCCATGCAGCCCAGCATGGGGGAAACAGGGAGCCCTTGCCTTGGAGGTCGTCCCCTCACCCCAGCTCAGGGTCCCCCAGCCTGGGGCAGCCCCAGGAAGCTGAAGGGATTTCTTCCCCTCCCAAACTCCAGAGCTACTTGCCTTAGCCACTGTGAGTCTCAGGCAGCCTCAGAGAGTGGAGGGAAATTCTCCTGCTCCTCTGCAGCTGGTTTTCCCTCACCTGCTGCAAGTCTGAGGCAAAACCAGTTTCAGGGGAGTGGAAGAGTTTCCCTCTGCTCCCTAAGGCTGTCCTGGGCTATCCCTGGGACTTGCAGCAGCTAAGGCAAACAGCTGTGTGGTTCAGGGCGGCGGGGAGGGGGAGGGGAAGAATTCCCCTCAGCTCCCTGGAGCTGGGAAACCCTG